ATAATTTCAAATTAATATATTACGACATATCAATAAAGGTGGGAACAAACTCTATAAATGTTGTTTTTAAAGCTTTTGTTTAAACTGTCGCAATGCGGGGAACAGACCCAAACATCGCCTGTGGCTGGGATCTTTTAATGTCTTTAGTACTGAAATTGAGTCCATGGTATACCAACTTGCAAACATAAGACTACATCAACACAAATTATTAGGCTAAATAACATTTTATTCATGAAAACAATCCTTTAAAATTAGGGTAAACACACTAGAAAATACATATGTATAATTATGATTTAACCAAAAGTGAGTGGACCACGAACGCAACTACTTTCGAAAATTTAACCCGAGGCAATTTCAATCATCTTAATTGTTCCTCACCGGTTGAAATATGCGAAAATTACAATGCCGTATTACATATTAACGAACATGATATGTTTGGGTAATGCTATGGTCACATTACCCAAAAGTAGCCTGCTCGGCGGCCGAGCGACGAGTTTTTAACCAATTCTGCCCGGCGGCCGCCCAGGCACCGCTCGTTTTTAGGGCATCGCTCGGTCGCCGCTGAAGTTTTAGCGTCGCCGCCCGGGCACCGACCTAATCGCTGGGCGATGCCTAAATTCCAGCAGCGACCGAGCAGGCTACTGATCGGTCGGTCGCTGCTCTGATTTGTGACCATAGCTCAATAGACGGGGTATCGGAATAATTGCCCTTGAGTTGATATTTCTTCGAAAGTAGTTGTGATCGTGTTTAAGACGATTCGATGACTGACATATAGATCCTTTGTTGAGTTTGTGTATTTCTTCTTCTTCTAGTTCTAGGACCCGTTTTATATAGAGTTGTGCTTAATTGATCCAAATCAAGTCGCAAGTCCTCTAACCAATCGCAAGTTGGCAGTCCCCTATCTCCTACATAGTTGCGATTGGTATCAATCGCATTTAAGTTGCGATTAATATCAACTCTTTGTAAGACGGAGCCCTGGAGTAGGCCTATCCTGACGACGACTTGTTAGTCTGAAGCAAGCCCCTTGTCGCTTGATAGACCAACGGTTCTGTCCTGTCACTTTGTTCCAGTGACAATATAGCTACTTAGCTAGGTAAACCTTATCACACTTTTAGAATGAGATATAAATATATATAACCTTCGTGTATTTCTATTTATCATCCTTTTATATCATCACACGAGTTTTCCTATTGTCTAACTAAAGTAAGAGCAACACCATTGGCCCCTATCAGGACAATGTGAATACATGTGTCATTTTCTAGTAATTTACTCAATCTATGTTCATTCCTACGAATATCCGAATAAAAACGGTCTTGACAGGTTGTATTTACAAGTATGTAGGCCTACATTGGTGTGTACATAATTATACGACTTATATATCAAATATTAATAATAATTTTCTTCAAATATATTAACGAAGTTTGACCAATTATTGCAACCTGTTTTAAAAAAAATACTCACGCAGCAATCCTAAATAACTCATCACCAACGACCATTTATTTACATATTATATTGACATCAAATTAGAATTATATTCTTAAACGCAAATAACACCACGCAAACATATTGAAGTAATAGTATTCTATTATCTCATATGATCAGTACATCACAGACATTACATTATATACAATAACATATTCCAATACATAACCCATATAACTCATATATATTTAGATATTTGTATATAAACATGAATATATTTTTCAGGAACTGCTCCTGAACAACTTCAACTACCTGTATAATGAATACTCTGTTAAAAACTTCTTGTGGACTATCATGTTCTTCTTTACAACACCTATGCTGAATTCACGGAGAGCTGAATATAATATGTTGATGAATAACACGTAATACGTAAAATGTAATAGCATTCGAACAACAGCAGCCTCTGAATTGGAATTGAGTTTGCATTTTAATTTGGTATTATGTCTCCCATATACCCAGCGGTCAAAGATTTGGGTGCCCAACTTTCTTAGAAATGTTTTTCTATGCCTACGCCCCACCCGCGAACCTTGTTGCCATGTTTCTGGTCAGTCATTATCCTGTCTTGTCTTTGATCCTTTCCCTTCGTTCGTCTTACTTGGGATGCGACTGCCTAATAGACCGAATGCCCATGAGACCGACACTCCTACTAGACCAGCAATGAACTAACTACAGTTTCTTTTAGGACAAACGGCCCAATTAGAAGACAAACGGCCCGAGAACCTGACAGTCCATATTTAACTATTGATAACTCGTTTAAACGGCTCATGAAACAAATAATTAATGAAATTATCTTCGCATAGCTCATTTTTTTTTTGCAATGTGACATGTGATTTGATTCACTTTTAATACAACAAAAACGAAATCGATATGACCAATATCAAATTTGTAACACAATTTACGAAATGGCCAGAAACGTTCTGGGATTATCAAGTGCATATTATTTTTCGGATAAAGGTATCTTTTTTCAATTAATATCATACTTTGCCTTTTTAAAGACATTTGAATGGCTAAATCACCCTCCCTTTCACCGAGAAGTCGCAATCAGACGATTTTTGCTTAGACTCATACCACAGTCCATTCATTATTTGGGTGCGCGTTCTTGTCAGCCTGGCGTCAGTTTCCTTTAGAACACAAACTCTCAAACGAGTCTACGGCCTCCTGCAGTGACGTCATATGATATTGCGCAATACAGGTCAGAAACTGTGATTTTTTTTTTTCCTGAGCGTTCCGAGTCGTCATAGCCAGTGCGTTGTCGTTCGCTAGTGTGCGGCATCATTCGTTACTCGTTCGTCGAGCGCGCTGGAACAACGCTATATGCATTCGTTGTCATTCGCTGTGTGCGTCAGGATTTTTTGAGCATGCTCAAAAGTGTGCGCGGAGCTCGACGCATGAATGTACACGCCATAAGCTAGACGCCAGACATGCGCAGAGCCTACAGACCAACGTCAGACAAACGCGGAGCACACGCCCTGTATACGCGCAGCGCGCTAGCAACACGCTATGCATTCGGTATCAGCTCGTTAGCTTCACCCAAATCCTGACAACATTCGTGCTCATGACTTTTTTCCGATTTTCAATGCGCCGGCCGTGCGTCCTCCATGCGTCCCGATGTGTGACCAGGCCTTTAGGTTGTAATTAATTGGGGTTTGGTTGCTCGATGTAATTTCATTGTGGTTTTCAATCGGCTCGATGTTACTTCAAAAAGTAATTGCAAACCGAAGTACGGTCGTCAGAAGTTTGTTGTAATTTTGACTCGATCTTCTCAAGGTAGGCGACCTTTCGGCGACATGTCATCAAGTAAAAAAATCTTTCAAATTTTAGTCGGCAGCGAATGTCGGTTTTCGGCGGCATGGCGCCACTCTCAAACATCTTTATGTGAATTATTCATATAGCTTGTCATGTTTTTCCGTTTAAATCGGACTCTCGAATTAAAGTGATAGTTGAGTTCTGTTGCAGAGGGCGCAACACAAAATAATTTTGTGTGAGATAATGAAAAACTGAGTGTCAAATTTGAAAGAAGACGGCTGAAATATCCATAAATATAACAATTTCTATATTAATTATTTTGTGTACCACCGTTAATATTCAATAATTTGAAAAAGCCGTTGAAAAAACAAAATAACGCCTTTTAAGTTGTATTGCAACCAATGCAGATATTGGATTTTTTGTTGGCTTTGTCGTGGTGGTTATTTTACGCACAACCAACCGGCCCACGTATTGTTTTAATTAATTAATTAATTAATTAACGGTCACCACGTTTTTGTTACAGTGGAGCTAAATTGGTATGATCGTATTGGCTAAATTTCACACATTTTGGGGTCTAAAATTACCTTCATAGCAATTTTACATGTAGGTCACAAAAGGGCACTAGAAATGTCATAGATAAAAATAAGAGCAATAAGCATGAGCTTTGAAGGTGTAGCGACTACTGTTACAGTGCATTCATTTATAATTCACTGGTATACATATTGTATTTTTAATCCAAAATGGCCGCTTTAGAAGTCATTGAGAGTTCGAGGATTTGGTATTACGCCATATCCTCGGAACTGGTTTTAACTCGATTTATTACTGAATGATGTTTATTCATTAGTATTTTTATCACATGATGAATTAACATAGATGTACGCGTATTTATTCATAAGTTTTTAGATCACGTGATTAATCAACATACATGTGCGCTTGTTTTGAACCAATCACGCTGTAGTTGCGATTGGCGCTCTTCTGATTTTCCTGTGCGGATCAGTGAGCTGTTTTAATATTGGTATACATTGTGTTGATATTTATTTGTACCTGGAAAATTGTATCCAACGAGGATTGAACTAATACAAGTACTAGGTCCCTGGACCATTCCCGGTACGGTGGACGTGCTATTTAGTTCTTGTACTTTTTGCAAGATACATTTTGACTCTTAATTGTGTTCTGCATTGACGACACTTTAATACGCCGTGCAGTGAGAATAGAACATTTTATATGATCTAACGTTTTTTCTCACCTACATTTATTATTGTTTGACAACCTTGTATCATCGACTTCATATGATTGTCTTGACATTTTGATTCTTCGACCTGCATCGCAAGTTGATCTATTGACCTCGACTGCATCATTATTGTATTCGATTGACTGTCTCATCACCATCATCAACGAGACCGTCTTCTGACTCTTCCTCATCGTTGTGTTCATCATCTTCTTCATCATCGTTGTCTTCATCTTAAACCATAGTGACTAAGTTGAGTCGCCTTTACATTAATGTGCTGTTGGAAGTTATCTATGTTTGATTATTAATAGTAACTACCAAGGGCCTAGTGATAGTTTAGTTGTCTGTCACTGTTGAGATAGACAGAAGAGGTTTCTGATAATTCTGTAATCATTGTTTCTTATGTGAAATTATAGAATATATATTACCAGTTTTTAACCATAATCAATTTGTCTGAATGTGATCATTTATTAAGTGTTTTATTTTCTGGAGGGATACTGCTTTTTAGTAGTTTAATTTAAAAAAAAAAAAGGAATTAGTCTACGTGGAATTACTAGTTAACACGCAACATAGTCCATACCCCATGTAGTTTTCTAAAAAGGCATTTGCGGTCTGAAAACAGAACTCAACTATCCCTTTAAACAGATAGATTTTTAAAAGACGAAATCATGGTAAGATTATTTGCGTTCCGCTAGGTGTCATGAACTGGTCGACCTCTTTAATCTCGAGCCATCCGTTGTCATCATCATAGCCTATTGCGATACCGATAACTCCCGTATTGTTGTATCTCGCGATCCAAACGAGGACCTCATTGAAGTAGCTCAAGGATCGGAGTTGCAAGTTTGGACGCTGCCAGTAATCATGGATCACTTCTTGAGCAAACGATGTGTTGTGAGGAATGTCCACATCTTTGTAGAAAACCTTATTCGTGGTAAGGCTATAGAAGAAGATACGACGTAATTTCCCTGACAAAGGAGAGAAGAAAAAAAAATGTACTCATTAACAAGCTTACCTATCACTTACATCCTGGCGTGCATACCTTCCATTTATTGTTATTTATACATATATAAAACATCTTACACCGTCATTAGAAGGACATAATGTAGCGAACAAGAATTAGCCATAATTATAGACATGGTCATTAGCAGGACATTTTCGTTTAAACAATATAATTACTGCCCTTCACGTACGTTTACAGGCAGAGGAAACTTATAGACCTCACAAGAAACAATATATTTATTCATAAGTCATTAGTTTAATTAGTTATATTGTTTTGAATTTAGGGTTAGGTTAGGGCAATGTTAATATACCAGATGTCCTGTTAATGTATCAGTCTGTGCTCTATATATATATATATATATACATGTCATGTAGATGTCCTGTTAATACAACATATAAGGGTATATATAATACAAATATATATGGGACCCAAACTCGAATTGATTTTCTACAATGATTTTTAAAGATCTTAAATATAGCTTTCCCCCTGCAAATACTCTGTCCCCTATTACGTAGAGGTGTCGTGGTCGAGTGGATACGTCACCGGACTGTCGATCGCAAGGTCCGCGGTTCGAGTCCCACCGCGGCACTAATGTCCTTTGACAAGACATTGTTCTACATTTGCCACACTCAGCCCAGGTGATGTACATGGGTACCTGGCAGGAATTAATTCTTTGAAATGCTGGAGTGCTGTATTATCGGCTGCTAGGCTAAAGTCGGGGTAATAATAAATGTGCCTCGGAATAGAATTATCTAGATAGATGGCGCTATAGAAATGCCTATTATTATTATTATTATTACGCACTTGGTACGGATGTTAACGACTTGTCCTCTGTTCGTCAGCACAGCTGGTGATTTTGGGAGCCTGCCGGCCATCACACAATTTCATAAACGACATCGTTTCACAAAAATAGCGATAAAATTAAAACGCTTCACTTAAGATTATTCATCTTGGTATCATTTTTCTCGGAATTTGATATTTATGTAACCAAAGTAAAATGAAAAAAACTAGGATTTTGAAAAAGGGTTAGTCGACACATGACATTCATTTATATACACGTTAACAAAACGTTCAGCGGTGTACCGCAGCATTATCTGACAAGTCTCTAGTTTCTCGGTTGACACTATCATCAAGTTCATTTCAAAATAAATGTCAATCTTAATGAATACTCACTGATTATGTCAATGCTGAATCCAAACTGTTCTTCGGAATCCATGCTTTTGTATATAATTTCAGTATCACCGGATCCAGATAGCAGTTTGCGAGCAACTTTTCCACTCATAGTCCAGTAAAGATATCTGTACATTTAATTGAAACAAAAAAAAAGAAAAACCGGTCGGTTATTATATTGTTAGAGAAAAGCCATTGAAGATTGCTATTGTGGTACATAAAAATCGATGTAGAATAGAAGGTTTTTAGCATGATCAAAATGGAGAAAAAAAATTGACTCAATTTTGTTGAAAGTTTAAAAGGGGCCGATCAAAATCATTTTACAATTATCTAGGAAGAACTATACAAAATTTAACATTGCTCAAAGTAATACACTAAAAGGTGATGTCAACATAACTTCTTTATGCCGTATCCGGACACCTACCCCTGGAAATCCACCCCGAATAAACACCCCCATTCACCTACCCCCGAGGACAACTACCCTCTATATAGGTCAACCACCCTCCAGGAAGACTACCCCCAAGACATCTACCCCCGGATAACAAACCCCATACAACTACCCCCTGGAATAGTTGTCAGGGGGTAGTTGTCGTAGAGGATGGTCGTCATAGGGGGTAGTTGTCTGGAGGGTAATTGTCCGGGGTAGTAGTGCAGGGGGTAGTTATCATACGGGGTATTTGTCCGGGGGTAGTTGTCCTAGGGGTAGCTGTCTGTGGTTAGTTGTCCGGGGATAGTTGTCCTGGTGGGTAGTCGTCCTAGAGGGTGGTTGCCTTATTGGGGCTAGTTGTCCTAAGGGGTAGTTGTCCAAGAGGGTAGTTGACTGGGGGTTGTTATCCGGGCGTGAATGTCCAGGGGTTAGGTTTCCTACAACCCTTTATGTAATCTTATCATCATTTTACGAAACCGTCTTAAAAACTTGTTCACCAACATCCCGTCGATTCACGTCTTAAATTTAATAACACGCATAAATGAGTTATTATTTTCGACGAACTTATACTTATGACAGTCTCGCGAAACGGTGCCCAGAGTTCAAGCAAATCGTTTATAATACCCACCCTTTTTCCTCATCGGCTTCCAATACTCTTGGTTCTCTTACACTTTGCGATCCAAAGTAAACTTCAATTCCTGGTATGGGGCTGCCCGGTGCAATCGACATTGATGTTATCTTGTTTAACATGGGATAAGCGACAAAGAGCATACCCGTGTTCTTCGCAATGGCAACCCCTGCAGATGCTACGATATAGAGGAAACGATACGAAGTTAAGAAGATTCATTTGAAATGAATTAAATTGAATTGATATCTTTATTTATACACGGTTAAAAAAGCCCAAACAATTACAAGACTGATTTCCATTGGGGCCGTGAGAAAAATACATCAAATAAACATAAAAACGACAATGGTACATATATGATATATTTAAAACAAACAAGAAATACATATAGCTCCATTTAGTCTCATTCGACAACGCCCCCTATCGTCAGAGTCAGCAGCCTAACATGTTAGCCTATGGAATTTTACCCCCCCAAAAAATCGTTTTAAAGAAATATTTAAAAAAAAAAAAAAATAATAATAATAATAATAATAATTTTTTGTTTAAACGAAAAGCACATCCATCCCGACGTAAGTTATCACTAGCTCTGTCATTGGAACCCTTATGTCCCATTTACTTTTGAAAGTTCACCCACCGTAAGTTGATCAAAATAGGTTGCAAGCTCGCCATTTACACATGTGAAACTAGTCGAACTTTGGACTCAGTTTGCAAAGCGATTGTAAGATTATAGGTCAAGCACACGGAGGATAAGAAGCATGAATTATCAGAGATTACTTCTGCTTGGTTCATTATGTCCATTGCATCCAACCCCCCACCGTAATTTTTCCATTTAGTAATAGCAAACATTTTGCCGAGGTAAGCAAAAACATGAATATTCATGATCACCATGGACTATTCGATTATTTACAAAACTCCCCTACTTTAAGTCAAGTATTTCATTATATTATGTAGTTTGGTAGGTTTATTTTAATAACTGTTTAATTATCAGATATCAATGATAGTTTAAAGATATGGAAAACGTTCTTGTATATTTAGCAAGGCAATCTCACATACAAATTCACTACCAAGTGTCGTCTAATCCGCCGATTGTCGTCTGCTATATACGTCCAGCGAGCGAAAATAAGACAACCGGAGCAATATGACAGGATCATGATAAGTATTTTTAAGAATAACAATAGAATGGTATTGTCGGAAGTATATTTATATGAATTACACTAATCATGAGTGGCTAAACAAGAGTGGTGTAAATAAACTTCAAATTCAAATTGGTAATACGAATTATAATATAAACTGCCAGAAATGATATATAAAAATTAAGAATAATCAAATGTGGCTGGTCAAGATACTGCATCATTACAATTCAGGATATGATTACAATTCGTTTAAGTCAGTAAAAGAACACTTGAAAGTGAAGTAAAAGAACAAGCACAACGGATAAAACTCTATTATTTAATCATTTTCAGATAAAATGAAATGAAATTATATTATATCATATGGAAATGTATCCACAAATCCACAATGTAAACTACTAGTTTACAAAGTGTCGTGTGAACTGGGAGTTTGACTAAAACATAATTAACTCTACCTACCCTCGTTGCTGGCAAAAGTCACAACCTCTCTGTTTGACCCGTCCACATTTGCTCGATATATTCGATTGGCTACAACATCATTCCAATAGAGCTTCTTCATCTTAGAGTCATACTCTAAGAATTCTGGGTTCATCGTAGATGGGATGGATGTGAACACTAATTCTTCTTTTAAGTCTGCGACAAATATCTTGTGCGCTCCAGAGTCTGCCACGAATATCTTAACGAAAGGTTCTGTATACAACGTATGGAAATATGGATAAAGACACGTAGTAGTGGGATTTAATAGGCTATTTGATACCGTTAGGATTTTTATCAAATAACCGGTTTTGTCAACCACCGAATTTCCAAGCGTTCCCCCATATAGTAAAATCATTGTCGTTCATTTTTCCTCATCCAGAAGTCTCTCCGAAAGACTGGGGGGGGGGGGGGGTTATTAATTGTAAGGACTACGGGTTTGCTGTGTGCAGACTTGTACAGTATTTCCACCAAGTCTTGTGTCAACGGAGTATGACCTTCTGCACACGACTATCTTCCCTAAAAAAAAACACCAAGCAAATGTACCTTCATTCGAGGGGATATTAACATTGTTGACAATACACAAAATTAAGTACATATAAGTCTTTTGAAAGTGATGTGATAAACAAATTAAACAATAAAGAGAAAATGGAGAGAGAGGGGGAAGAACGAAAGAGCATCATATGGACTATCTTGGACAATTTGTTAGAAGTCTGTAACATCGAGCGAATATCCAAACTTCCTAAACATAGTCTTTACCATTCCATCGTGCTCACTGAACTTTCCGTTTTCCATAATCACTCATGCATTACCATCCAGGCACCATTTTGTCCGTGTGGTAGAAAGGAAGCCAAGAAAATAGACCCGAAACATACAAAATGGTGCCTGGACGGTAATGCATGAGTGATTTTGGAAAAAAAGCGTAAAATCAGTGTGCGCGAAGGGATACTGAAAAACTGTGTTTACGAAGTTTGGAAAGAATCGTAGGAGAATGGACCTAAAAAGTGTTTATAAATAAAAGTTTGGGGAAATAACAACATATCAATACGGTGCATGTACCTTCCATAATAATGCGGGTTGTAATATGAAGGGCATCGTCTAGACGAGTTCTTCTTTCACCCAATTTTCACTTGCGAATACCTTTTAGGTCCATTCTCCTATTCTGATGCTTTCCAAACTTCGTAAACATAGTTTGACGTCATACCCAATACGTGTTATAATCGGGAGAAAGAAGGGAAGATAGGGTGGGAAAGAAAAGGGGGAGATAGAAAGAATGGAGGGAGAGAGAGATGGGGAGGAGAGAGGGAGAGAGAGAGAGAGAGAGATAGGGGTGGTTATTGCATGAGAATAAATTATTGCATACCACTAGTCATGATAGTTGTTGAAGGATCTGATGTTGATGTCAATGATGATATTGCTGAGATAGTGGTCTCCGGTGTTAACAAAGCTGTTTCATCACGTCTTGTTGCAGGTAAATCTGCCGAATAATAACAGATTAAAATATGAATGTTCAAAATCAATAGCTTAAAAGATAATAGATGTTCATATCTATTGACACTCCATTTTTGAAATGATACTCGTGGAGGCATTAACATTTATAATGTGCCGTGGGATAAAAACAAATACAGTCAATATCGGTGGTCTTCTTTGACATAACACTCGTTATGTTTGTTGTTGATTTATTTTTGATATCGGGACAGAGAGGGAGCTGACATACAACAATTATAAACGCAATGAAGTGATACAAATGTGGAACAGCCCCCAACCCACATCCCTCCCTAAAAATAGGTGAAAAGGGGGGAAGGAAGGGAGAGTGGGAGAGAAATAAATGGTTAAAATTGTTATCACAGGTACTTTCACACTTGAAACACCCCCTTCTGCCTTATGATTCAGATTCAAATTTGTTTTTTTAATCGAAATCTTCTTAATATTTATAAAAAGGTAACTGTACATAGCCATAATTCTTTAAATCAGAATCTTATTCTCCATATATGCCACCCAATGGCTTACAAAAAGGGGAAGGGGCGACCAGGCGCGGATCCAGGATTTCTTAGGGGAGGGCGCACAATTTTTTTTTTTTTTGCTCCCGAAAATTTGAAAATCGCGCCGGCCGAAAAGTCGCTCAGTGGGGGGGGGGGGGGGGGGGGGGGGGGGGGGGGGTACAGAGCACATTTTTTTTTTTTTTTTTTGATCCTCAAAAAAAATTCTATTTGCACCCCCCCCCCCTTGAGCGCCCAACCCCCAAAAAAGGTAAAAATCAAGTGATTTTACATGATTTTTTTTCTCAAGGGGGGGGGGGCCCGGCCCCCCCCCCCCTGGATCCGCCAATACTGGGGGCGACACGATGAAGTGCTACCAATCCTGTCAAACGAAAGTGAAATAAAAAAGAGAAATAAAAGAAAAGCTTTAATCGAGCCTGCAAGATTTCCGAGAACGGTGAGCAATATAAAAAAAAGTCGCGGACAAAATTTACCGCCTCCCCCCTTTCCCTTTCCTAACAGTCCTGAATCTATTATTAAGGATTCGTTTTGAGTCCTGCAAAAGGAATTCTATCTCTGTATTTTTAAATTTTGTGTTTGGGGGCGAAATGGCACTAAATAATCCCTGTACTTTTGACCCCTAAAGGGATAGTTGAGTTCTGTTGCAGACGGCGCTACACAGAACAACTTTTTTGTTAGATAATGAAAATCCGAGTGTCAAATTTGAAAGAACATACAATTTAAATGACAAAATCATCTTTGTTTGATCAAAATCGGTTTAGAGACGGCTGAAATATCCATAAATATAACGATTTCTAATACTTGTGTACCAACCACCACAAATATTCGATAATTTGAAAAAGCCGTTGAAAAAACGAAATAGCGCCTTTTACGTCGCATTTCAGCCAATGCCGATGTTGGCTTTTTTGTTGGCTTTTTCGGGTTGGTTATAGTACGCACAACCAGCCGGCCCATGTATTGTTATTTTTAATTAATTAATTAATTACCGGTCACCGCATTTTTTGGGGGATAGTGGACCTGAATTAGTATGATACTATTGGCTAAATTTAACACATTTTGGGGTCAAAATTTACCTTCATAGCAATTCTAAAAGGGCACTATAAATGTCATAAATAAGAATAAGAACAATAACCATGCAATTTGAAGGTAATGGCGGTCTGAAAACAGAATTCAACTATCCCTTCAAATCCCTCCAAATTTATATTTTTCCTGCTTTTATTTTCATAAGTACTTTACAAAATGTTGAATCTGAATCTGGTTGCAACCCTTTCATTGTTTTTCTCGTTGAAAATCATTACAAATATCTACCTGTCTAAAAAATTAAAGGTACAATAGTGTTGTAAATATCCAGAATTCGATCGAATATCTCTACAGTGTGTCCCAGAAAAAGGGAAACCTCCAACCAAAGGGTTAAGGCGCGTTCAGACAATGACACAGCATAACCGAGAAGGTAAAATCGCGGCGGTGTTTTTACGATAACGTAAAGTAAAACACGTTTCATACTTCTGTTTACATGTATAATTCCACTGGAGAGCGCAATGAATACGCCCAATGAAGACATTTATTGCAAGCAGTTGCCACTAAATAACTAGTTTTGAAGTAAAAAATGGCGGTTTTGTTCTTCTTCTCCGGTTTACTGCGCCATAACTGAACAAGCCTCTAGTGGTGTACTCACCTTCATCGCAATTGTGTCCTTGAAACCCAGTCGAGCAATGGCAGTGGTAACCTTGCATAGTCTCCTCACACCAGCCATTTTCACAGGGATTACTATAACAGTCTACAAAAATAAATGGAGGCATGCATGACATACACATGACACACATTACGAATAAAGAGAAAGTAAAGTTACATTTGGTCCACATGAAAAGAATTCAAACAACTCATTTGCAAGCAAAGTATAAGATGAATGTGCATTTAGGATAAGCGTTTGAGGCCATTGGCGATTCGTAAACGAGAACGCTATTCAAAATGTCATGAATTGAAATTAATATCTCTTAAATCTTAAAACTGTAATGAAACAAAGAGGCAAAAGAAGATGACAAAAAAATAAATAATTACTAACCAGGATATTTGCACACCCTCTGTTCAGTTCCACTACAGGGTAAACTCTTTCCATCGACGAAAGCTGCTACTTCGGGTGACACGGCGAGCTTGGGGATGGTCTGCACCATGCTGCCATTGGGAAGCATTATCTCATTGCACTCGTTCAGCATGGGTAAGGTGTAGTTCAGGTTTAACCCATTGTTACTGGCCGCATCACTCACATCCAGAGAGATAAATGTTAATGCTGTCAATGAGTGTTACGGAAAATAACAGTTCATTGTAACACAACATTTCGAAGTGGATGTTGATTTTTTATTATTTGGTTCATTGATGTTTTATTGCTTTTCTCTTCAGTTGTTTTTTTTGTTTACTAATATAGTTATGTTAGTAAGTTACTTTTATAGATGGTTAGTTATTGGTTTATGTTTATTGTATGCGGAGAGAAGGGATATAGGAAAGGCAGTGTGAATGAGAGGGAAAGACAATATGGGAGAGAGAGGAAGAGAAAGACGTGAACAAAGAAATATGGTAAGGAGGGAAGGAGAGAAAGAAAGTAAAGAGATAATGTATGAGGGGGGAGTTAAAGAAGAAAAGTAACGAGAATAAGAGACAGAGGTAGAGTGAAGAGGAGGGGGGAAGAGTTATGTTTCTCTACTGGTGTTGCTGACGTTGTTGTTGTTGTTTTTGTGCTTAGCAAAGGGCATTATAGTACCCACCCTCACCATCTCCTCCCCCGGACTAGCTTCAATGTGGTTATTGTGAAAAATTGGCAGGCCCATGTATTTTCACCCCTCCCGGGCCCTTCTCTTAAAAATATGGATGTCACAGATAGCGACTTTTAGAGTTGCGTGGACTGCTACGTGTGACGTCCTTCTGAGGCACTGGCAGTAACGTGGGACGTCCATATAATTAAAAGGACGTCGTACGTAGCAGTCCACTATTTCGACGTGCAAATCTAAAAGTCAATAATGAAACATGTTCATAATAGTCTTTAAAATAGGGGAGTCATTTTTTAATATAGGGGAGGGCATCCAATAAATTGGTTGATAAAATATTCTTTCTGTTAGCCTGTTCCTAAGTACTGTCAACTCATTCTATTCATCTAACTTGAAGATACTTGAAGTTAGACCATATAACTCATGGACAAAAAAAGAGGTTGTCAGTCTGATCGTAGCCGTCGGGTTCAGCCCCAGAAACAGCTTCAAAAATCGGGTCGACTGCACCCCTAACTACCCCATGAACCGACATTTATTAGTACAAGCTTAGGAAGTGGTATGTTTGAACGCTACACTCAAATGAGAAAGAAACTGAAGAAAAAATGGGCGGGGGGGGGGGGACCGTCCTAAGCCCCTCCTCCCCACCAGCACGTCATTATCGGTCCGGTATATTATACGTACCGAGAAGCATGCATGTAATGATGCCGGACCTCAATCTCCAATAAGGCTTCTCTTCCTTTCCCTAAGAGTTAAAAATACCAAACAATAAGCTTAATTGTCATGATTAGTATAACTTGAGCTCTATTATATATGCTAAGTAGCTTTTCTTATGTAAGCTTTACACCTTAGGAACTCATCACGAGGAATTTACGTGTGAACATCGTACATTTATCATTTTGGAGAGGGAAATGTCTCACTTTAACTATAGCACTATTCTTTGTTTGTGACCTCCTTTCTGATGATTATTTGAATCTAATTAAGGAAAATAGGAATGATGACTATAAGTATATAATTCAATTTGTAGCTTAGTATAATTAGTATTACTATGCCATAGTGTAAATTGAAAACCCACACAAGATTTCCAATTTGCACAGTAAAATTTAGTATGATATGATTTTCGTTCGACTTCCCCATTCTCCCATACTGTCAAAGAAAAAGGAAGACACGTGGAATAATACCAACAACATTACGCAATTTGTGACTGACTAGAAGAATAAGTTGAAATGAAAAACATTATGTTAGATAGTTATATTTTCAAAACTACTTACCACTGGCATCATTTCCACCTAAAAGGTTCTCGAAATATTAGCGGTGTGATGAACACAAATGCAATTTTATGGGATATAGAGCGTTAGATGCCTGCAGAGTGAGTTGGACTGTAAAATGTATTACTACAGATGCAAACAGGCTGTTCAAGATGGAATTAAGTAACTAGCTAGATGAGAGAAAATACTCTTAATTGCTTGAAGGGTTACACCAACAAAAAAACGATCGTGGATGCCAAAGCCTGAAAATAGCCATAAGTGTGGATAAACAGTAGCAACTGGTTGTCTTGGCAGCTGCATTATGATGACGCGGACGTTCATGGTGTTCTGCATGGCTGATGATCGACTTCGTGGTCAAGGCAAATCCGGTGAGAACCCACTTCCAAAATTAGTTAATACTCTAATTAAACTGTAGCTTCTGTCAGCTAGTGCATGTAACTGTATCTCATTAAACGTGTTTGAGGGGGGAGGATGCTGATCAACCTCTTTTCTATTCAATATCAACGCCGGGTGGTTGGTCACACATGATCGGTACGAATAGATTTACCAATTACTCCATCGCTCGATCTACAGAGTGAGTCAGAAAAAATGTCCCACATTTTAAAAGTTATATTGCTTGAAGTATGAATATATAATCAGTGGTTTCATGATATGTTTCGATAGAGTTATCCTCCCAGTACATTTAGGTACCATTTTTATTTGAAACTCTGCATGCATGACTGAACATCAGACAATCCTTACAAGACTGCCAGATTTCACTTGCGCGAAGTTACCGGGTAAGGAATAAAACAGTGCATTGAACAAAGACAGTCAGACAGACAATGACACATACACACACACACACACACACACCACCACACACACCCACGCATACACGCACGCAAACACACACGCACACCCGAACACACACAGTGACAATTGTTTCATAATTTCCCCTTTTCTGATTAAAGCTATCGAGACATATCATGAAACCCATGATTATATATTCATAATTCAAACAATACATCTTTTAAAAAGTGGGACATTTTTTCTGACTCACTCTGTATATGGGAGTAATTAGGCCTTTTTAAAGCAAACGCTTTATATTTCCTTGCACCACAAGAAAATATTACTCAAGTGGAAAGAAAAGAGCTAATTACACTTTGTAGGTCATTATGGTATTGACATTGTGCAACTAATTCGAACAATTAAGTAAGAAACAGTTCAAAATGCTGTAAATACCATCTTTATAGATTCTTTATTTTACATTTTAGTGCTAGAATACGCACTTACTCGCGATATTATTTATTTATCTGTTATAATTAGTAATTGTAACTAAACTTATTTTAACTAATTGTAACTAGACTAATGTTTATTAAATACAAGCTGAGATTTTAATAGATTAATCTACTTACACTATGAACATGACTGACAAAGAAAGCGGACAAAATATACAGTTCCTCAGGTAGACAAAGGAACATCCCTTTACTGCTATTATGTAAAAAGTTGAATATGCATGTGACACCTGTTCTACACACTTCATAGTGTTAGGTTTCTGTTTATTATAATCTAGATTATTTGAATTTCTTCATATTGTAAATTACAACAAGGTTTACAGGACTTAGGTTCATGACACATTTTCATGCTGCGATGGATATATTTTTTCATGTTTTATAATAAAACAGTGAATGTGTTTTTGTAAGGTATTTGTCACATCAATTTTTTAAATAATTTTCTGTATGTTCTTTTTAATTATTTGCTAGGAACTCGAAAAAAAGAGGAAGACCGTTTTGTGACAAAACAAAATTAACTTTACAAGAAAAAGGCATAACGTTTTCCCTAATATGATAATGATAATGATTGTATAAACAAATGGATTATATTTACCACATCAGTATTAATACTGCTCTTCCTTCGGGCCCTGCATTGACCGGTTTACTAACACATTCAAATTCATGGATGTTTCATTCCTGTAGACCTAGTGACGAGGTATTCCATTATTCTTCTTATTATTGTATGAATTACAATACTCGGAATCCAGTCTGCATAATTATATTTCTTGTTGATATGTCGAACAAGCCTCAGACAAGCTTCCATGTCCTGAAGAACAACCTCTGTGTTTTGTTAGGTATGTGCTTAACAGGATCATCCTTGCAGAAACGTAGACAAACGATTCCTGCCTAGCTGCAAACTAAAGGGCAACTTTCAAAGGGAAATGTGATTTTGTAATGATAATTATTTTCGCTACCCGTCGTCTGAAAATCGTGTGGCTTGGATCTTTTTACTCTCGCTAGTACTAGAATGGAGGTTTTAGTATTGATTTGCAAAAAGGAAGAATGCAACAAAACAACTAATTAGGCTAAATAACACTTTATTCTTGTAAACAATTCTTAAAAATTAAGGTAAACACCCAAGACTAAAAACATGTATTCTTGTAGCACAATTGTCTTGGGATTTATTGAAACCACGATTGCAACTACTTCCGAAAGGTCAACTTGAGGCCATTTCAGTGACCTTAAAGGGATCCGGTAACTTTGTCTCAGATTCTGAAACAAAATTCTGGATTTAGTTCATGATGCAATTATAATTATAAACCTTTAGGTCAGTCAGGAACCCCATGACTTTTACAAGCCGATCGCCTGTCTGATTATTAAGTTATTTATGATTGGAATTACAAATTTCGAAAACCGTTCGCCTGACGGTTTTCATAACACTACAGTCTATTGGGGAAAACGAGTATGGTAAAACCGGTCACTCAAAGATTTTTTACTTTTTTGAGGCACTTCTTGATCATTTTGAAGCGCAATTTTTTTTAAGGGCTTCAATATTACACCATATCACAGACACTGATAACACGTAGGGCCGTGTATCTCAGATTTAAAATTGTTAAACGATCCCTTTAATTGTTCGTCACCTTTTGAAATGTGAAATGATGGCAATTATGTATACGTAATCTGAACATGTTTGGTATGGGTAATACGATAGGGTATTGAAATAATCGCCCTTGAGTTGATTTTTCTCGAAAGTAGTTGCGATCGTGTTTAATAATAATAAAATAATAATATAGAGTATTTGTAATGCGCCAACTCCACATGAATAATGTGTTCGAGGCGCATGGAGAAGAAAAGATATAAGTACACAAAAATACACACAAAAATACACACAAAAATGAACAACGACAATGTGTAAGTAAAACTAAATCTACTGAAAAGCCGCTTTGAACAAATGAGTTTTGAGGGCATGTTTAAAGCGATCTACACTTGAAATATAAAGAATATGTTGTGGCAATTGATTCCATAGGTAAGGTCCAGCGTGTTCAAATGACCGATCCCCCCACGATTTCTTAGTTTTCGGAACAACAAGCAATTGAGAATCGGAAGATCTTAATCGTCTATGCGGATTATAAGGCATTAACAAATTAATATTGTACTCTATTGTACTTCTGTATTGTACTTCTATAGGCCCCATCTTATGAACAGTTGCGATTGATCCAAATCAATCATAATTCCTCTAATCCATCGCAAGTTAGCAGTCCCCTATATTTTACATAGTTGCGATTGATATCAATCGCATTTAAGTTACGATTAATCGCAACTGTAAAAATTGGACCTAGAGTAGCCTGACGACGAATTATCAGTCTTCAGCCCTTATCGGTGTATAGACCTGGATCAATGGTTCGGTCCTGTCTTTTAGTTCAAGTAACAATGCAGCTAAGAAAACTTAATCACACTTTTGAATTATATATAAATAAAACCTTCATGGATTTCTATTTATCATCATTTATGACACGAGTTTTTCCTGGTGTCAAACAAAACTAAGGGTTACATCGTTGGCCTCTGTCCAGACGCTTTGAGAGCACGTGTAATGTTCTAGTAAATTGCTCAATCTATACCTACTCCTAAGAATATCTGAAATAAAACTGTTTTGACAGTTTGTATTTATAAGTATGTAGACCTAAATTGGTATGTACATATATAACTGATATATATATGTTACACAGGCCTTATATGCCTGCGCCGGTTCAATTAATTAAGATTAGTAAACACGGAGATCCATTAAAATACATGAGTCTGAAAAATATATTTTGTGCCAATAAGACCAAAGAGGTATTTATTAGTATTCAGTGTCTAAGGTACACCGATAATAAATTCCCAGTGTGACAACTTGTATCAATGATTTCAAACAACAACAAGAATCATTACAAAAAAAGCTTTACACTATGTGGTACAGGTGTACAACAAATGATAGAAAAGGAGCAAAGTAAACTACACAGTACATTAGAAAAATATCAAGGAATAGAAGAAAAGAATAGATGTTCCAATAAAATACAAATAATAAAACAAGAGTTGTTCGTCAATAAGCACTAAATACATCGATCAGGCGGAGAGCGTTGCCTGAACAACGACAGCAGTCCCAACTCTTGTCCCGAGAGAAACGGAAGTGAAACCATGGTGGAACCATGGTGGAACTCTGTTAAGAAACAAAATCAAGGCAGGTCTTAAAAAGCTGCGACATAGTAACTTCTGGGGGAAGTTACAATACACGTCTATCTGCCTTGAAGTCTAAACTTGCTCTCCTACTTAATCAATAATAATTCTCCTTTATATTGAACAAGAGTATTTATCGGCTCACAAGTAGTAATTGGGCTATCACTAAACTATCTAATGATGAGTATTTTACAATGACTGAAATAACTATACATATGTCTGGCTTGTGGAAAGTAGTATCTTAATTCATACACAATCACAACCATCTTGTATCAAAGGTTAATGGACATAAACACATGAAAATATCATACAATGGGTTTTCCAACACAAGGAGAATCACACTAAACAATATCATACAATTCAAATTGCATGAGGATCTTGGGATATATCTCTAAAATTTACTAGAATAGAACATGAATATACTTTTAGAAAGGTGAGTGTTCGCTTACCTGTTAAGAAACAAAATCAAGGCAGGTCTTAAACTTCTGGGGGAAGTTACATTACACGTCTATCTGCCTTGAAGTCTAAACTTGCTCTCAACGAGAAAGCCAATCTTCTAGCAAACCAGGCAAACAAACCCACCATTCCCTATCCCCAAACCAAAGGAGTGCCAGCAAATGTATCCACTGGTCATTCATGAATTATGTACTCTACGAATAAAGGAATAAACAAGGCCTATAGAATAGGGGTCTCTTTGTTCCCATCTCTTTGTTTCTCCAGTGACATATACCGGAGAGGTGATCTTAATAGAAACATAGTTTAAAAGTAAAATTTAAATAGGAGTTCAACAATTTAAAGTAATATAAGCTTACTCAAAAATAGAATAAAGGTTTACAAAAAAATGGAATATACCTTGTTAATAAACAGGGTCTGACATATAAAATATTGATAAAACTGTTCTTCAAATCTAAACGAAGTTTGACCCATTATTGCAATCTGGTTAAAATATTGAAACAACAATCTTCTATGAGTCATCATCATCGACTATATTTGGTAACCGAATTAAAAGGATATTCTTAAAAGCTAATAACACCAAGCAAACACATTGAAGTAATAGTATTCTACCACTCTTATGATCAGTACATCACAGACAATCTATGATGTACAATAACTTATTCCAAGGCATGACTTTAGTAACCGCGGTTCTAAAGGTGAGAGAGAGCAGCTTGGGGGTTCAAACCCTGAACAACAACAATCTTCCAGCCTCTTCCCAAAAAGGGCCCTTGAGGCACATGTAGAACGTCATTGTGAAAGCCCCACAAGTGCCCTACCCTCCCCCGAAAAAAATTTAATAACAGTTGAAATAAAAAATCATTGAGAGTACAAATCACTAATGAATATACCCGTTATTTTTTTTTCTTTCAATTGTTTTAAGCATATTGGTTCTTTAATCTTGCATAATGCATCAACCATTCGACTTTCATTATACACAAATCAATTGAAAGCGTGAAAAACAGGCAAAACACAGCAACATAAAGTACGACTTTTGATAATACTTTATGTACAGGGAATTCACCATAACCAGGCAGAAGAATGATTAATGAAAGATTAAATTTTGTTTTGACATACTAAACCTAATCATCAAATCAATGTTAATCTTGCAAGATTTTTTTTTCTTCAATATGTCACAATTATCTTTCAAGTCTATGCACATTACATGATGCAATCACATTATATAGCGGCAACCGGTTGCTAACCGGTAACAACAAGTGCAGATTGTTGGGTGCCAGAAGTCGTAGCAATTTTTTTTACTATAGTCTTCTATAGGTTGTCATTGATCGGGGACTGGTTTTCTTCGCGGTTTTTGATCGGCTGGATGTTGTCGATGTATCAACAATGATTTGCTAACTAAAGTAGTCGTCATAAGTTGTTTTTTAAGGAGATGACCTGTCAGCGACGTGTCACCGGGAGGGGAGGGGGGGGGGGGGGGGGGGAGTAGAGTTTTTTTTAAATTTTTAGTCGGCAATGAATGTCGGTTTTCGGCGGCCTGTCGCCACTTTAGTAAAAATTATATCTTTGCCCAATCCATCATCTGCAATATGTGAATGGTTTATATGTTTGTACTGTCTACCTTTCCAATAGGACTCTCGAAATAAGCAGAGAGATTTTTCTTAAGACAAAATCATGGTTCGATGATTAGCATACCTCTAGGAACCATGAACTTGTCGACTTCTTTAATGACGTACGATCGGTTGGTATTATCATAGTATGTCGTGATACCGATGCTTCTCGTATAGTTCTGCCTCGTGACCCAATAGAGGAAGCCATTGATGTAGCTCAGGGATTGGAGTTGCCCGTAGTATGGAGACTGCCCGCTATAGGTCAATTCTGTAGCAATCGATTTGTCTGGAGAAGTGCTCATATCTTTGTAGAAGACTCTCCCACCAGTAATGCTACAGAAGAAGATACGACGTGGATTCCCTGACAAAAGAGGGCGAAAAAATATTGTAGAAAAAAGGTGTTTATTAAACATCTACCTACCACTGACAATCGATGAGTCGAGGCGTGCTCACATCTTTGTAAAAGATCCTCTTCAGTCTACAAAAGAAGGTACGACGTAACTTCTCTGACAAAGAAGAAAAGAACTATTGACAAAATGGGTTCATAAAACATTTACCTAGCACTAACATCCAGGCATGCATACCTTCCATCTTGTTTATTATGTATATATATATATATATATATATATTGTTTAAATAATTTATTTTGTATATAATTTATTATACATATAGGTCTATATAAAAGGATACGCAAAAATCGCGGGGGGATCCTAAGGCGGCCTCACCTCGAATGGATTTTCCACAATGATGTTTATTTAAAGCTGCTCTGAAATATAATGCTTTCCTTCTGCTTACACCTAGAAGCCGAAGTCTGATTTTCAGACCCTTCAGTACTGCATAGTCGTACGTTTTGTGCTGAGTCGATAAGACTCGATAAGTTTAATTTTGGTCATTATAAGAAGCGGGTCACTGATGTGTACGCATGATAATGTACCCTCTACAGCTAATTCGTCGCTGTTTTCACGAAGTGACGGTAGTGAAAAAAAATTGCATTCACTTTGCGTGACGATTTTCCTCACTACCGTCACTTCGTGAAAACAAGGACGAATTCTATCTATGTTATTAACGAATTTAATATTCAGTGACTCACTCAACTTAAGTGTCTTACAGTGAAGTCTAGAGGGTAAACGGTTTCCTATGCTAACCGTTAAACGTTTACAATTCACAGATAGGACATACGCGACATATTTGTGATTCCTGCAAAGTTCTACAGAATTTAATGTTGGCTGCAAAAGAGATACACTATCTTTAAACACGAAAATACCAGATTGGGACAAAAAAGTCAATTTGCTCGAAAAAGGTTTAATAGCCTGTTGAATGTTGATAGATTATTGTACCAAGGAAAGAGGCTTGTTTTAGTAAGGCAAAAGCTCCCAAATATAATTTAGAATAGTGCTCAGTGGGAAATAACCAGGCCCCCCACAGGCCCCTCACTCAGTGTTATTTAGGGTAGTCATTTTCGTGTTCCCAGCACCCCCTCCTTTTTCAGCATAAGTCCGGTGTGTAAAGTCAATACGGGTAGACTTTTTTCTTTTGTTACGAACGGAGATTTTGGGAGCACGCATGCGGTCCCTCCGTTCCCGGAGTGGGGGGGGGGGGGAATAATTCCCGATTCAACATTCCGGTGAATGATCTTTTTACATGCTGACCATTGTTTATACCTACGCATGAGAAAGATAGAAATTTGTAGTAAAAGGGGTAGTTTTCACGAATGTTCGCGAATAATTGTTATTTTAAAGCACCCAGTGGTCAGTGAGCTTGATAGGATTAATATTCAGTATGTGTATTCTACGGTTGAATCTATTTTGAAAGAGAAAAGATAACAGGGGCGCATCCAAGAGTTTGAATAAGGGGGAGTACACTGATGCCATTCATTTATATACATGTTTACAAATCATATTTTAAAAAACGTTTAGCGGTTTACCGCAGCATTATCTGAACAAGTCTTTAGTTTCTTGGTCAAAACTATCATTACGTTCATGTAAAAAGAAACATCATTTATATACTAAAAACTCACTGGTGAAGTCAATGCTGAGTCCAGAGAGATCGTTGAGATGAATATTTTTGTATATAGTTTGAAGTGCGTCTTGAGGCAGGAATAAATGTTTACGAGCAACTTCTCCGTTCATAGTCATGTAAATATACCTAAAACATAAAACAAAGAGTGGAGTAACGGTCATAACGATTATTACAAGGGAGAACATTGAAGACTGATTTTGTGGTGCATAAAAATCGTTGTAAAATGGGAGGTTTTTTGCCTGATCAAAATGAAAAGGAATTGAAACAATCTTACTGAAATTCGATCACATGCACTGCAAACAGAAATGGCCATGCATGGGACAACACACACGTCTGGCATAAATATGTTGTCCAAATGCTCAGCCATTTTGGGGTCACAATTACATGTTTTCAAATATGAAGACGTTTTATGAACACTCCGTTCCAGGGCAGAACATGTCTACTATGAAAGGCTTATGGTTCTAGGACAATTACCCCCTGAAAAATCACCCCCGGAAAATTACCCCCCGGAAAACTCCCCCCCCCCCCGGACAATTACCCCTCGGAAATTCCCCCCCCCCCCCTCCCAGAGGACAACTACCCCCGAGTAGAATTACCTCCCGGAAAAATACCCCCCGAGGACAACTAACCCCCGGAAAATTACCCCTCGGAGAATTACCCCCCTAGGACAACTACCCCCCCCCCCCCCCCGAGGACAACAATTTAGTAATTTATGATAGTTTAACATTTCGTTCTCTTTGATTTATTTTCATCGAAATACTGTTTACTTATAAGAATGCGGGATAAAATAGAATACAATAAAATCAACTATTGAGAATGCCCCAAAATGGAATTCTTGACAGTCTTTGCTAACATGTCGGTAAAAGAAAACCAGATAATAAACATCCGCGTTTAAGGTAGCGACCCCTTACGAACTTACGAACTGCGAATCTGCTTTATGTCTGCTTTTCTACGCCTTTTTAACGCTTTTCAAGTCATTTCGTGTATCACTATAATGTAGCTTGTGACCAGCACCTTCAACCCACCGGAAATCGTGCCTCATATCTTATCGGAAATGTAGACGTTTGTATCGGGATATCTTCATGTTTCTAGGATTCATTCTGTGTCTACTAGGATAGTCCCACTTCATCATTTTCCTGCTGTGTTTGCCCGTCGAACGCTGTCGCTACTAGCTTGACCAAAAATTTGTGAGTGCCGGCCCATCCCATTTTTCTATTGTTATATTACGTAACCCTTCTCAACATGTCAAAGCCAAACCTAAGATCGAGGGGCCGCTTGCACTCAGCTGATCCGAGTACCCCACCCTCTGCTCCATCGTTGGCTAAGCCGACACAAAGCCCAGTGTACCTAGATCGCATTGATACTGTCGTACAAAGAGCGGTTGCCGTGGCAATGGAACGCGAAAGACAAAAACTCAATAATGACATGGAGAAGCGTGAAAATAAATTGTGTGAATTACTTGATGAAAAGCTCGCTAGTCTCCAGAATTTGGAAATTTCTATTAATAGCAAACTGCAGAAACTTCGTGACATTGAGAAATCAGTTTCTGATAATAAAACTGAAGTCAATGCTTTGTCAAATAGGCTTGACCACATCGAACAATACTCCCGCCGAAACAATATTCGCATTCTGGGAGTAAAGACTACTCCAGATGAAGACACAAACGAGATTGTTTGCAACGTAGCCCAACAGATTGGTATTACTCTCACCCCTTGTGACATCGATAGATCACATCGTCTTCGCAGACCAAACACCAACCCTCACGATGTCCAATCTCAAGGATCGTACGCCGGCGCAGCTCGAAACGTCAAGTTATCAACCCCGCCTATCATAGTAAAGTTCACTTCTTACAGGCCTAAACTAAAGATGATGAAAAATCGAAGAAAATTGAAAGGCACAGGTACAGTGATTGTCGAAGATTTGACTAAGAAGAATTCCAATCTTCTCTTCCAGACGTCGAAACACACAAACGTTAAGGCTTCCTGGACCATTGACGGACGCGTTTTCGCGTTGGTCAAAACAACAGGCGGCCATGAGATGAAAAAACTTATTACAGGTCTTCCCGATCTTAACTCTATCTGATATATGTGACTGATAAGCCATTTTTGGATTTGATCATTTACTTGATCTTTCCACTGATTGTTTTTATAGTAATTTTCCCGAATTTACCTTTTCCGGTGGAAATTCATTTTGCTGATATTATACAAATTTTGTCGATGCTTTATGTATTGTGGTTTTTTTTATTGTGTATACAGTTTTTTTGTTATGCCTGATCGTGATTTGTATCTTCAATTTCTCAAGACTTTAAATTGTAAATTCTTCCTTCCAACTTCTTAATTTCTCCCTCTCCCTTCCTTTTCTTCGTTTTTTCTCCTGTTATACTCCTAACTTTTTTTTCTTTTTTTCTTCTACTGATATTGTATTATGATGTCATGTGTATACTGTAACTGTAATTGTAACCAATATTCTGTATGCCAGTGTTCATTTCCATGCTGTACTCATTCTTCATTTCCTTTTCAAGACTTGAATAATGATGAACTTTGTGCAATATTTGGTAGTAATACTACAGATACTCATACTGATATTAATAATTTAAACTTTTTATCTGGAAATGAAGATGAGTTTCATTTCAGTAGGTTTCTGAACTGTAAATATTATATTGATGAAGATTTTACGACTGAATTCAGTAACATTGACCATCATTTTAGTATTTTACATTTTAATTCCCGTAGTTTGAACACAAACTTTAATGCTATATCCAATTTCATCTCTACTTTATGTATAGATTTCTCTGTTTATGGTTTCTCTGAAACTTGGATTAATGACAGTACGCCACTATTATTTAATGTGTCTGGTTATTCTTTTATACATTCTGATCGCCAAGAAGGAAAGGGTGGAGGTGTTGGTCTGTTGGTCGCTGACAATTTTGAATATGTAATACGCAATGATATATTATACCCCTCATGCGATTATGAATCACTGTTTATTGAAATCAATTTGCCGAGACATAAAAATATTATTGTAGGTGTTATATATAGGAAACCTCAATCAAATATCAATGATTTCATCCCTGTCTTTGAAAATTGTTTACAGAAAACTAATACTGAACATAAACAGGTTTATATAATGGGCGATTTTAACATTGATCTTATGAAATATACTGGCAATGCTGTATGTAATTTCTTGAGCGCAATACATTCAAATTTTTTTATTCCTTTAATTGATAAGCCTTCAAGAATGACTGACAGATCAATATCCCTTATTGATAACATATTTACAAATAACTTTGATCTAAATGTTTCTTCTGGTTTGTTTTATAATGATATATCTGATCATTTCCCAATATTTCAAATAACACAAAAACAGTTTCCTATCTATAACATTTCTGTATATAATACTCGTATTATCAATGATGTATCTCTTAATGTTTTCAAAGAGGATTTGTTACGTAATGACTGGAATATTTTTAATTATACCGATGTAGTCGTAGCTTTTGAAAAGTTTTCGACAACTTTATCATTACTTTATAACAGAGCATTTGTAAAGAAAACTTTTAAATCTGTTCGTAAAAAGATTAGAAAACCGTGGATTACATTTGACTTGTATAAAAAGATAAGGAATAAAAATAAAGTATATAGAAGGTATTGTCATTCACCTACAGAAAATAACAAGAGGAAATACGTTCAATTACGGAACTACACTAATAAGTTATTAAAACTTGCACGTAAAGACTACTACAAGATGAAATTTTATGCAATAAAGGGAAATATGAAAAAAACATGGCAATTAATCAATGGTATCCTGGGTAAATCTCACAATGCCTTACCTAATTTCATAAATGTAAATGGAAAACAAATATCTAATTCTAAAGATATTGCCAATCATTTTAACACTTTTTTTGTAAATATTGGTCCATCTTTGAAAAATTCCTTATCCTTAGGCAATACTGACAAATTTGCCAAATTTTTACCAAAGCAAAATTCCAATTCTGTATATTTTAAAGCTGTATCTGAAAATGAAATTATTGATGTAGTAAAAAAATTGAATTGTACAAATAGTTGTGGCATTGATGAATTCAATCCTGATGTCATAAAGAATGTAATACACTATATTGTTACACCATTGTGTTATATTTTCAATTTATCGATTTCTACTGGAGTTGTTCCCTCTAGATTGAAAATTGCAAAAGTTGTACCTGTTCATAAAAAAAGTGATATTCATAATGTTGATAATTATAGGCCTATATCTATACTTCCTTATTTTTCAAAAATCTTAGAAAGGCTCGTCTATAATCGTACATATAGCTATTTATGCACAAATTCTATTTTGAATGATAGTCAGTATGGTTTTTTAAAGCATGTGTCGACAGAAATGGCTGTTATTGATCTTCAAGATTATTTAATTAGTGTATTTAATAAAAAATTGCATGCTATTGGTGTTTTCTTAGATTTAAGCAAGGCATTTGATACAATTGATTTTTCTATATTATTATCCAAACTTGCCTGTTATGGGATAAGAGGTTTACCACTCCTCTGGTTCAAAAGTTATTTACATAATAGAACTCAATGTGTATCATTTAATGGTGTTTTATCTGATTATTCGGAAATCTCATGTGGTGTGCCCCAGGGGTCAATCCTGGGGCCCCTTCTGTTTTTACTTTATATTAATGACCTTCCATATTGTTCTGATAAATTGAAATTCATTCTTTTTGCTGATGACACCAATATCCTCTACACCTCAAATGACATTGGATCTTTATATAGCACGTTAAATATTGAATTGCGGAAAGTATCGAATTGGTTTAAATGCAATAAATTAATCTTGAATGCTGGAAAGTCAAATTTTATATATTTTCATTCCAAATATAAACCGGTTTCTACAGAGCTCCTCAATTCATATCAAATAAAAATGGATGATAATGTTCTTAATCGTGTTGCTAATACCAAGTTCTTGGGTATTTTTATTGACGAAAGCTTATCCTGGAAAACACATATATCCCATATTAATAAGATAATGTCCAGGAATACTGGTGTCATCAGCAAACTCCGCCATACTTTGCCTCAATCTGTTCTTCTTATGTTATACAATACACTTATATTACCGTTTCTTAGTTATTGCAACATTGTTTGGGCAAACACATACCCAACCAAACTGCATCGTTTATATATTCTACAAAAGAGGGTTGTAAGAAATATAACGCTATCTCATTATCAATCTCATTCAAGACCACTTTTTAAACAACTTAATATATTGAATGTATACCAGTTAAATGAATATTTATGTGCTATACTTATATTTAAGAACGAAAAAAGTCTGCTTCCTGAAAAGTTATCCGATATGTTTATAAAAAACAGTACAATACATAACCATAATACTAGAAATAAGAAGAAATATCACCGATGGTGTGTTAATACAAATTTTGCATCATATTCTTGCAGACATCATGCACCTGAAATTTGGAACTTGCTTCCGACTAATATAACTTCAATCTCATTTTACAACAGTTTTAAACGTAATCTCAAAAGTTTCTTGATTGCGCATGACTCTCACTGAATGTATTTATCTAGCTTGTTACCCCTCTCTCTTTTACTCTCTCTCTTTCTTTCTTCTCCTTTGCTATCTTCTCACTTTTTCATCCTACCATGTTGTATATCATGTACTGGGTTTGTGCCGGTTGTTATGCAATTTCTGAATGATATTATCCGAAACTTTACTTGCTACTTGTTTTCTTATCATATTTATTATATCTAATTTGATAGGAAGCTGTCCAGACAAAACCTTTTCTTGGTTTTTTTACAGCTGTGCCTTATTCTGTTTTGTATTAATTCATTTCACATGTATATACTATCCCAATTTATGTATTATATTGTACATGAAATTGTATGTTTTTACTTTGTAAAAATGTTTTTAAAGATGGAATTCAATAAACTGAACTGAACTGAACTGAACTGAACTAAACATTAGCCTATGTATGCGTATATGGAAAAAAACAGTGCTGATGACATCACGAGTTCTGCTCTAGATTACATTTTAATAATATAACACTATGAGAAATATAAAAAGATTGTGTATATTTGAAATTAAAGCATAGAGAATCAAATAAGATGTTACGATTTGTCTACATATATTCATGAATTCATGCGTGCAATTTATGTGCAGTATTTATTTTGTATACATACTGGGATTCCTAGGAAGCAAGGACACTTGTCGTGGTATGGTTTAATCTCATTACTTTCAATCGAAAGATTGAGAGGTTAAATCCCTGCCCGCCACTTCCATCGTCTAAAAAGAAACTAATCCACATTTACTACTTTCCACCCAGGTGTGAATTAAAATCTGATAGGCTATAGAGCATTACATAATTATTTCGCCGCTCGGTTACTATGAGCAGGGTTAAAAAGGGGCTATTTGAAATCATTGAACAATTATCGAGGAACAACTATCACATTGCTCAAGTAATAAAGTACAACATCAATTCTTTATTTCATCTGGGCATCGTTTCACAAAACCGTCGTAAGCACTAGTTTACCGACATCCCGTCGATTCACGTCTTAGCTTTAAGAACACGCATTTCAATAAACTGTCGTCGAACTTATACTTATGACAGTTTCGCGAAACGGTACCCAGAGTTCAAGCAAAACGCTTTATACCCACCCTTGTTCCTCATCGGTCTGCAATGCTCTTGGTTCCTTTATACCTTGTGTTGCAAAGTCAGGATCATCTCTCGGTATTGTTTTGTCCGGTTTAATTGACATGGATGTTATCTTGTTCGACAGGGTATAAGCGATGTAGAGAACCCCCAGTTCCTCTGCAATGGCAACCCCTGCGGGTGCTATGATAATTATAGAGGAAACAATACAAAGTTAAGATGTAAAATTTCTAAAATCCTGATCGTTATATCTTCTTATAATTCTGATACATATTTGAGTTGTTAATTAATTTTTATGAGTAGACTTCTACATAATAAGAAAATATCAAGACTTTCTTATTTTCGTGATTGTTACATTCACCCAAAAGGCTACATGAAGATGGCATGAATACAAGCAAGTTATCAAGAAATAAATTCCGGGCATCGATTCACAAAACCGTCTTAAGTATGAGTTCGCCAACAACCCATCGAAACACGTGTATAAAAGTTACTAAGCGCTTCAATGTTTTAATGGACTGTCGGCGAACATGTCCTTACGACGGTTCCTGAAACGATGCCCTGATCCTACGAATTTAAAGGTATTATGTCCCTTTTGCAGCCAACCTCAAATTATGTAGAAATTTGCAGGAATTGTGAATATGTCATGTATGTCCTATCTGTGAAATTTGAACTTTAGCAGTGTCCTAGTATTCAAATTATACAAGGAAACCCGTTTACTTGCTAGACTTCACTGTCAGACACTTTTGCGTGACTGACTGGCTTTTTTCTTCTTTGGTAATAACATACATAAAATGAGCTGTAAAGGGTACATGAGCATTTGTCTACATCGATAACCCACTTTTTGTGATGGCCAAAATTAAACTGATTGAATCTTTGCGCAGCATAAACGTATGACCATTCTGTACAATGGTCTGAAAATCAAGACTGGTACTTATTGGCTCTATAGCTCCTAAGTAGATTTGACAAGTTATAGTCGTTATTTTCCCACTTGAAGACATTTTCAAGCCCCACCTTTTTTAGGGAAGTTCTAAATAAGTATTATCTTTCAAATGCCTTTGGAATTTAACCTCTTCATTCATTCGGCCTGCAAATGGGACATAGTACCTTTAAGTGTGATTAGAATAGCTGTGCGTGCAGCCGTACAACTATAGATGACGCCCTCTTTGCGTGAATCATACAAATTTTGCTCGATGAATTCGATTGTTAGTCAAGTGAGTCCAGCAAGTCTTGCTTTTTACGTAGTAATACTTTACAATGGCGGATTTGTACCAGGACCTGTCCCTGTTATTTATTTGTATTATAATTTTTTTTTGTATACAATATATCCACAATCTAAGCTACTAGTTTACAAAGTGTCGTGTGAACTGGATGTTTGATTAAAACATAATTAATAATTGTACCTACCCTCGTTGCTGGCAAAAGTCACGACCTCTCTGTTTAACCCGTTCACATCTGCTCGATATATTTGCTTGGCTGTGAAATCATTCCAATAGAGCTTCTTCCTCGTAGAGTCATACGCTAAGAATTCTGGGTGCCACGTAGAGGGGATGGGTTTGAACGATAATTCGTCTCTTAGGTCAGCAAAAAAGATCTTGTGCTCTCCAGAGTCTGCCACGAATATCTTAGCGAAGGATTCTGTATACAGCGTATGGAAATGTATTTACAGACGACTATAGTAGGGGGCTCTCATGGGGGATTGGAAACCATTCAGGTGTCCACCCAGTACAACAGGGGCTGATCTATACGGGGGGGGGGAGGGGGTTTAAACGCCCCTCCCCCCTTGGGCTGCCAAGTGAAAATGTGATGTGCATAGGACGCGTCGTCATTGGGTCACCCCTCTTAGCAAAAAGATTGCTCCCCCTTGTACACAGGTATTGTCAATTACCAGATTAGTCTTCAACTTTACGATCAACAAGCTTCATGTAATGCACCTGCATTTTCCAGAAGTTTCCCCATTTGGTAAAATTATTATCTTTCATTTTTCCTCACCCAGAAGGCTCTCCGTGAGAGATTATGGGGGGGGGGGTGATTTATTAATGAGACTACGGATTTGCTGTGTCCAGACTTATACACCCAGTAATAGTATATCCAACAAGTCTGGTGTCAGCGAATTATGAACTTCTGCACATGGAAACTAACGACCCTCTCCCTTTAAAAAACAAACAAGAAAAACAAAACAAGTCAAGTTTCGAGGGAAAACTAATATGGTTGACAATAAACACTTTAATAACAAAAGTGTTTTTTTAGAAACTGGTGTGATTTACGAATTAAAGAAATTAACAGAAGAGGCAGACGGAGGGTTGGGAAAGAGCGAGAGAGAAAGAATCAAATATAGAAAACGTAGAGACGCCAGAACAGGGGTGGATCTACATGTTAAAAATGGGGCACAATGTTTATGAAGTTTTCTGACAAGCAAAAAAAGAAAGAACGACAAAAATTTAAATAATACTGATCTGCAATTATATTAGAACAATATGCGTGTATTTATGCCCGTATGCTCTACGTCGTAGACGAAGGAGTATCTTTTGGACCAACTAGACTAATTTGTTAGAAGTCAGTAGGATCGAGCAAAGTTAAGATCGGAAGGGCGAAAGAAAGGCATTAAAAAAAGACCCGACACAGACAAAAATGGAGCCTAGATGGTAATGCATGAGTGATTTTGCAAAACGGAAAGTTTAGTGAGCACGGTGGGATACTGGAACTGTATTTAGTTTGAAAAGAATCGAAATGGAAGAATGGATCTTAAACGTGTCCACAAGTACAGTTTGGTGACAGAACAAATTGTAAAAACGGTGCCCGTGCCTTCCTTACTATTGCGGGTTACTATTGTATCGTCTAGCTGAGTTCTTCTTTCATCCAAAATTTATTTGTGAACCCTTTTTAGGTCCGTTCTTCTATTACGATTTTTTCCAAACTTCGTAAATACAGTTTGACGTCACAACCAGTGGGGTTATAATTTGCAGAATGAGGGGTCAGAGGGAGGGAAAAATAATGGAGAGATAAAGAGAGAGGGAGGGAGAGAAAGAAGGGGAAGGAAAAGGGAGAGAGAGAGAGAGAGAGAGTGGGGTTTATTGTATATGAATAAATTATTGCGTACCACTAGTCACGTTAGTTGTTGAAGGATCTGATGTTGATGTTGATGATGATATAGCTGACATAGTGGTCTCCGAAGTAGACACAGCTGTTCCATCACGTCGTGTTCTTGGTAATTCTGCTGAATAACACCAAATGAGAAAAAGAAATGTTCAAATTTAACGATAGTAGATTTTCATATCTTTTGACACTCAATTTTTGTTTGATGATAATTTTTGTTTGATTTTTGTTTGAGCGTAAACATCAGTTGGTTCAAAACAAGTTCAGTCAATATCGATGGTCTACGTCTTTGACGTAACATTCTTTATTTTTGTGGCTGATTTATTGTTGCAATTATAAAGAGTATGAAAAAAATGACATACCAAAATTAGAAACGCAAGGAATGTTAAATATTGATAGAAATGGAGGAACAACACCCTCCTTCAAAAAAAGGTGAGGATAGGAGACGGAGAGGGGAGAGGAAATAAATAAATGATTAAAACTGTTTTCACAGGTACTTCCGCACTCGAACAATTGCACCCTTAAAAAGGCATTAAATCTTGTAGTTCAGATTCGAATGTTATTTTTGTTGTAATCTAAATCTCCTTGATAATAAAAGGTTACTCTGGCGACAATACTTTTATTCAGAATCTGATCCATATTATTTGCCAACCAATGAAGTAGAAACGTGGGATAGGCACGGGAAGTTCTCCCAATCATGACAAAATATTGGAAAAGAAAAAAAAAGAGAAGAAAAGGGGAAGAGAGAAAGAGTAGAATGTTCTTTTCACCTGAGAAAGCCTAAATCGACCCTGCAAGTTTCCCGAGAACGGCGAGCAAGAAAAGAAAAATGATTTGCGTGTATTGAATCCAGAGTGTGCTCTACGTCGTAGACGAAGGAGCATCTTGTGGACTATCTAGACCAATTTGCTAGAATGAAGTAGCATTGAGCAAAGTTGAGATATGGAGGCGAAAAGACAGGCGTGACAAAAAGACCCAAACAGACAAAATGGAGCCTGGACGGTAATGCATGAGTGATTTTGCAGAACGGAAAGTTCGGTGAGCACAGTGGGATGGTGACGACTGTGTGTAGTGTGAAAAGAAGTGTACTAGAAGAATGGTCCTTAAAAGTGTTTACAAATAAGATTTTGGTGAAAGAAGAACATGTCAAGACGGTGTCTTCCATATTAACTCGGGGGTATACTTGTCTTGATGAGTTCTTCTTTCACCCAAATTTCATTTTTGAACCCTTTTTGGATCCATTCTTCTATTCTGATTCTTTCCAAACTTCATAAACACTTTTTGAAGTCATATCTTATACGTGTTATAATCGAAAGAAGGGAAAGGAGATGTCGAGGGAAGGAAAGATGAGGGAGGGAGGGAGACATCGAGAGGGGAATGGGAGAGAGAGGGTGAGAGATAGAGGGAGGGGTGGTTCATCGTATAATAATAAATAGTGCATACCACTAGTCATAGTAGTTGTTGGTGGATCTGATGTTGAAGTTGATGATACCGATAGGAATAGATTTTTATATCTTTTGACACTCCGATTTTTTGTTAATGGTACTCTTGGGAGCGTCAACATGTCAAATGTTTAGTGGGCGGAGAACAAGTACAGTCAATTTCGGTGGTCTTCTTTGACGTAACACTTTGTATTTTTGTTGCTGATTTATTGTTGCAATTATAAAAAGTACGAAGAAAAAATGACATACGAAAATCAAAAACGCAAGGAATGTTAAATGTTAGTAAAATTTGAACAGCCCCCAACCCACACCCTCCCTCAAAAAGGTTTACGAAGTAGACGGAGAGGGGGAGAGGAGATAAATAAATGGATAAAATTGTTTTCACAGGTACTTCCACACTTAAAAAAATTGCAACCCTAACAAATAGGCCTGAAACATTATAATTCAGATTCGAATATTCCTTTTTTGTGTAATCTAAATATCCTTGATACATAATTAAAGGTTACTATGGCCACAATACTTTTATTCAGAATCTTATTCCTATTATATGCCACCCGATGAAGTACAAACATGGGAGAGGCACGTGAAGTTCTCCCAATCATAGCAAAAGAATGCAAAAAAAGAAGGAAAAAAAGAGAAAAAGGGGGAAAAGAGTGGAAGGTTCTTTTCACCTAAGAAAGCCTAAATTGATCCTGCAAGTTTCTCTAGAACGGCAAGCAAGAAAAGAAATGTCGGGGGTATGAAGGCTAAAAGAAAGCCGCGTAAAAAGACCCGAAACAGACAAAAATGGTGCCTGGACGGCAATGCATGAGTGATTTTGCAAAACGGAAAGTTCACTGAGCACGGCGGGATAGTGAAGACTGTGTTTAGTTTGAAAAGAAGTGGACTAGAAGAATGGTCCTAAAAAGTGTTTACAAATAAAATGTTGGTGAGAGAAGAAGATGTCAAGACGGTGCCTTCCATTCTAGCCCAGGGTATAAGATGGAAGGCATCGTCTTGACGAGTTCTTCTTTCACCCACATTTCATTTGTGAACCCTATTTTTGGTCCATTCTTTTATTCTGATTCTCTCCAAACTTCACAAACACATTTTGACGTCATGGCCAATACGTGTTATAATCGGAAGAAAAAAGAGGAGATATATCGAGTCGAGGGAAGGAAAGATGAGGGATGTAGGGGTAGGGAGAGAGCGAGAGAAAGACAGAGAGAGACATATGGTGGTTCATTGTATAAGAATGAATTATTGCGTACCACTAGTCATGATAGTTGTTGGTGAATCTGATGTTGATGTTAATGATGATATTGCTGACAAAGTGGTCTCCGATGTAGACACAGCTGTTTCATCGCGTCTTGTTGTAGATAATTCTGCTGAATAACACCAAATTAAAAAAGGAATGTTCAAATTCAAAAGTCAGAAGTTTATAGATTTTCATATCTATTGACACTCCACTTTTTCAATGATACTCGTGGGAGCATTAACATGTATAATGTCTGTTGAGGTAAAGACATTACAGTCAATAACGGTGGTCATCACTCTACAAAACTGAGCCAGGAATAACACTGTTTTGTTCGTTTAAAGTAATGCTTGCATTTTTATAATTGTAACGAATCCGTTCCACTGGCTGCCTGCCCTCACAACAAAGAAGACGAAAGACTAGCAATTAGCTTTCATCATTTCGTCGCTGTTTTCACGAAGTGACGGTAGTGAAAAAAATTGCATTCACTTTGCGTTACGATTTTCCTCACTACCGTCACTTCGTGAAAACAAGGACGATTTTAATCACCACTCCTTTCGTTGATGATCAGCCATGCATAAAGTCTGTTGTCAACCCTGTTTCTTGCTACGGCAGGCAGCCAGTGAAAACGAATTCGTATAATCGAATTTTTGGAAATGCAAGCATTAATTTAAACAAACAAAACCTTGTTATTCCTGGTTCATTTTCCTGATTTATGTGTCATATGAAAGGGCAGAAATGAACTTTCTGGAAATGTGATTTTCTCTTTAAAATTCAGACACCATTCGTCAAATGACTTTTTAGTATACCCTTTTATCAAATTGTTTTTAATCACTCATGCGTGAAATATATATCAGATGAGTTGCATCAAATCAAAGAAGAGGATTTAAGCATCACAAATAATTATGTGTCATTAATTAAGTATGATTGTGATTAAGTAATGATAAAACATCGATAATTCTCGGTTTCTTTTTTCCTGGGACGCACTGTATAATCTCTTTACTTTTGACCCTCAGATTTTACTGTTTTTATTTTCATAAGTACATTACAAAATTTTGTATCCGAATCTGGATGCAACCCCTTCATTGATTGTCTCGTTAAAAATATTTACACACATCTACTAGTCTAAACAATTAAAGGGATCCAGTAACTTTGTCTCAGATTCTGAAACAAAATCCTGGATTTATAAGTATAAATATTTAGGTCCGTCAGGAACCCCATGCCTTTTACAAGCCAATCGCCTGTCTGATTATCAAGATATTTATGATTCGAAATCGAAACCAAATTTAGCGTTTTCCTAAAAGTTTTCATAAAACTACAATCTATTAGGGAAAACGAGTATGGTAAAACCGGTCACTCAAAGATTTGTTACTTTTCTTGATCATTTTGAAGCGCGAAATTTTATTAGGGCTTTAATAATACACCATAGCACAGACACTGAGAACACGTAGGGCCATGTATATCAGGTTTAACTTTGTTAAACGATGCCTTAAAGGGACAATAATGGTGTAATCATCCAGAATTCGGGCAAATATCTCTATAGTGTGTCTCAGAAAAAGTAAACCTCCAAACAAACGGTTAAGGCGCGTTTAGATAATTTATGACGCGGCAAAACGGCGAAGGTGTTTTTATGACAACGTAAAGTATAATACTCTTCACATTTCTGTGTCTTATACCACTGCAGAGCGCGGTGAATACGCCCAAGACGCAGTTGCTATTTAATTACACGTTTAAAAAAAAAACCGCTGCGGTGTTTTAATCTTCTGCTCCGGTCTACCGCGCCATATCTGAACACGCATTTATTGTTGTACTCACCATCATCGCAGTTTTGTCCTTTAAACCCAGTCGAGCAATGGCAGTGGTAACCATACATAGTCTCCTCACACCAGCCGTTGTCACAGGGACTACTATAACAGTCTACAAAAACAAATGAGGGCTCGACATATAGCCACCCTGATACTGGCACGAAATTTGCCCCCGCAATGCCACGCAATGCATCGTGCCAATGATATGAGTAAAGTCTTCGTGAATAAGCGTGAGGAGTTTGTGAAGGTTGCAGGGTGCGTAGAGAGAATTTTGAAATTCTCAAAAATTCGTCACGCACCAATTATCGTACCTTGTCCGTGCCACTCTCGTGAACCATGCATGAACACTGCGCAAACTCGGCGCGAGCACTGCCGACGGTGCGTGTCAATGCGTGTTATAATGCGTGCCATGGGAATCTACTACACTACAAGGCACGAACAATACTTAACTTATGCGTAAACAAGTAGTGCCATTGCGTGTCATTGTGTGCCAATGCGGCCCATTTTTTGCCGCGCATTGCGTAGACAGTACGTATAAACTTATGTGTACATTGCGCAAACAGGTCACAGACACGGCTTCACGC